GGCTGGGATGTGCCCTGGTGCCTGGGACATCACCAGGAGCGGGGCTGGGATGTGCTCTGGTGCCTGGGACATGACAAGGGGCGGTGCTGGCTGGGGTTTGTTTGGTGCCTGTGAAATCCCAAGGGCAGTGTCACAGCGGGGCAGCTCTCAGTGTCCCCAGCAGGTCACAGTGTCCAGTGCAGCCCGTGCCAGCGGTCACTGCGCACACGGGGCAGGCTGGGCTGGACAGGGGACGGGGCAGAAACGCTGCCCCGGGACTGGGGTCTCCCCCTGCCTCTGGGGCCCAGCCCCTGCTGCTGGGCCAGGGGGACAGGCCGTGCCCCCTGTCCCCTGCTGCTGGGCCAGGGGGACAGGCCGTGCCCCCTGTCCCCTGCTGCTGGGCCAGGGGGACAGGCCGTGCCCCCTGTCCCCTGCTGCTGGGCCAGGGGGACAGGCCGTGCCCCCTGACAGCTGCCCAGGCCCCTCTGGTGCCTGTCCCACATCCCTGTGGCTCCTGTCCCCACCACTCCCCACCACCTTCACTCCCTCCATCAAAGCCCCACTCAACCCCTTCACAGTGACCTCTGGAAAGAAAGAATGAAGGAAAGGAAGTGTTGTCTGTTCACCCTGCATGGATGTCAGGCACCCACCAAAGCTGCTCTCTCACTCCCCTCCAGAGATGGACAGGAGAGAGGAAACAGAATGAAGGCTTCATGGGTTGAGCTAAGGACTGGGACAGATCACTCAGCAAATGCCATCATGGGCAAAACATTTTCAAAATTGGAGATATTAATGGAATTTATTGCTATCTGGATCAGGGCAGGACAGTGAGAAGTAAAACAAAGCTTTAAAAACACCTTCTGCCCTTCCCTCCCTCCTTCCCAGCTCTACCTCCCCCCCAGTGGGTGCAGGGAGACAGGGAATGGGGGCTCAGGTCAGTTCATCCCCTGTTGTTTCTCCTGCTGCTCGGGGAGAGGAGTCGTTCCCTGCTGTGCCAGGGGTCCCTCCTGGAGACACTTCTCCATGAACTTCTCCACGGTGAGTTCATCCCACGGACAGCAGTTCTCCACAAACTGCTGCAGCGTGGCTCGCTCTTCCATGGGCTCACAGGTCCTGGCAGGGCCCTGCTCCAGCGTGGGCTCCTCTCCAGGGGTTTGCAGGTCCCTGCCAGCTCCCTGCTCCAGCACAGGTTTCTCACGGGGTCGCAGCCTCCGCTCAGGCATCCCCCTGCTCCGGCACGGGCTCCTGCAGGCGCTGCAGGTGCATCTCTGCCCTCCGTGCCCTCCATGGGCTGCAGGGCCCAGCTGCCTCACCAGGGACTGCCCAGGGAATCTCAGGGCAATCAGCTCCAGCAGCTGGAGCAGCTCCTGCCCCTCCTGCCCTGCCCTGCCCTGCCCTGCCCTGCCCTGCCCTGGGGGTGTGCAGAGCTGCTCCTCTCACATGTCCTCACCCTGCTCCTCCCTGCTCACAGTCACAGCTCCAGGATCACCCATTTTCTTAAATCTCTTATCCCAAAGGCGTTACCACCATTTCTAACTGGGCCAGCCTTGGCCAGCAGCCGGTCTGTCCTGGAGCCGGCTGGAATTGACTCTGTGGGACATGGAGGAGCAGCTGCTCTCACAGAAGGTGCTCCTAGAGCCCCTCTCTTACCAAAACCTGTCCATGCAAACCTGCTATAAGTATGGTAGGGTTTTAATTACCACTATTAATTCTCATTATTTCTATGAGTTGGAATAATGTAATCAAGTACTGCAGACAGAGAAATATTGGTTAAAGTGTAATGAATATATGAGTGAGGTAGAGACATAAATGCCTGCTTTAAGTACAAAATCTGATATATTTCCACACCTCTCAGGCATGAGAATGGACTCTCAAAAAAAAAAAAAAAACCAAAAAAAACCCACAAAACAAAACAAAAAACACCACAAGAAACCAAAAGCAAAACCAGATATGATTTCAAGAAGAAAGTAAAATGATATAAAAACTTACTTTTATAAAAATATTGTCTGGTTATAGCTCTGGGACCACACTCTATGTGGGTTGTTTTATTTTTACTGGCTTTTTGAAACCAAACAAGACAAAGACTTACCAGAACAACAACTCTGTGACACAAAGTATTTGTGTGTGGGTGACAGTAGGAAATGACAAACGACTCCAAGCTCATACAGGCCAAGGTCTGTCCTTCTGGTATTTCTTTCATCCCCCAGCTGAAACCTCCCTGTCCTTGCAGGTGCCTGGTGGAGGATATCAAACCAAAGACACTTCCACCACCCACTGCCCCACTCCTCCTGCACAGAGGATTTTTCCAAGTGCATCCAACCAGATTGGAGCACCAGGCAGGCTCAGTGATGGCTGTCTGGGGCTCACAGAAAGGCAGCCAGGCTTTGTAAGCCTCAATTAAAACCCAGGGAGGGATTTAGCTCCATTTTAACATCATTCCTTTATCTGATACTCACAGTCTGCATGTCATTAAGTGAATGTGTTTTGGTTTCTGGGGGATGCACACAGTGCAGGCATTGAGAAACTCAGCAGTGAGTGTTTCCTACAGGCCACATAATGGGAAAATTGAAATCTGCCTGTACTGAACATGGAACCCCCTGGCAGGGTCAAGGAAATTAATTCTAAATCAATGGGGTTAAACACCAAAGAATCTCTCTCTTGTTTGGGCCAGGCTTTTTTCCCCACAAAAAAATCATGCTGCCAGCAGCACCTCTACAACTGGAATTGTTTTTCTTTTAAAACACTGACATAGGCTGTCCAGAGTAGCTGTTGATGCACCATTCTTGGAAACAGCCACAGTCAGGTTGGATGAGGCTTTAAACAACCTGATCTAGTTGATGATGTTCCTGCTCATTCCAGGGCGTTGAAACTAGAGGACCTTTAGTGGTCCCTTCCAACTCAAACAATTCTATGATTTTTATGAAATTTCATAAAAAGGAAAGCCTCATGAGAAGCCTTGTGTTGGCCCAGCTTAAAACGTAAAGGTTGATACAGAGCAGGCTGGAAAGGTTCCCATCTTTCCCTGAAAACCTGTGTATTGCTGCCAGTGAGTAACATGCAGCTTTCAGCTGGTTCCTAAGGAAACAACAGAGGTGTGACCAGCTGGTGGGGAGTGTGGCAGGGCCCCATTGCAGTTTTGGGGTACTGGGGACCAATGGCTCTCAGAGAGCCCCACAGCCCATTGAGGTCCCTGCACACCTTGGTTAAACCCAACTTGAGGACAGCCCTGCTGCTCCAGCTTGTCCTGGAGGGAGAGAGGTCTGGATGCTCCATTCCCATCCTGCTTCTGCAAATGTTGACAAGCACCGTTTCTCTTGATTTTGAACCAAATGCAAAACCTCCCCGGAGACCTCCCCTGCATTTTGACCCTCATTTTTGCTGTCCACACCCTCCTGCACCCACCTCACCCCAGAAGCTGAGCAGGAGCATCATTTTTAACAAGATGCTGCAGATTCGGCAGAGAAATTAATCTCAACAGCAAGTGCTGACCACTTTTTCCTGGTAATTCATTTAAACTGGGAAGTTAATTCTATTCAACTGAGCTGCCCTTCATCACTTAGAGACACAGGCTTTGAACATCCCCGAGTGAAGTGGTTCTGGCACAAACCTTCCTCCTCCTCCTCTATCTACCCTGACCCCCGCATCCCCTAGGGAATGCCACATGCCAGTGCTGTGTGATCCTCCCTCTGGAGGCTGATTAGCCAGAGCTGGAGAGTTCAGGGAGGTGAGAGCATCGGAATCCTCGCGCTGACGTTTGATCGCCGACGGCTGCCCGTGCTCCCAATTAGCCTGCAAACGCTGCCTCCGGCTCACAAATACTTTAAAAAATGAAGTTTGACGAAAAGCCGCCTGCGTTGCCGTTCTTCAACCCTCTCTGCCATATCAAAGCCTTTGAGAATATCTGAGGACAACTTTTATAGCCGAGAAGCGCCCATTGGAGCGCTGGCTCATTACTGCTGTGGCTGTGCTGCCCACGGAGACGCAGAGCATCCATCAGCCCACTTACCAGGAGCACTCCTGAATACCAGCAAGTGTGTTAGGCTGGGAAGTTACCTCTGAGGGAGCCACCGAAGGGTTTTTCAAGCAGAAAGGTCACCCAGCTCATCAGTTTCTAGGGGAGATGATTAGAGCGGCGCATTTTGGGAGCCGTGGCACCCCGCAGCACGTCCATTCCCTGGCTCTTTGTTCCCCCCTTCGCTCACAGTAATGATCTGCAGCTCATCACAGGGGGCTCAGCGGGGGAGGACACAGCAGCACTTATTTTAATAAATAACATTCATGAGCTGGCTTTCCAGGCTGCAGCTTGGTGAGGAATGTGATGAACATTGAGAGGAGAGATTGAGAGAGACACTGGCACAGGGTGCCCAGAGAAGCTGCCCCATCCCTGGAAGTGTCCAAGGCCAGGTTGGGCAGGGCTTGGAGGAACCTGGGACAGTGGAAGGTGTCCCTGCCCATGGCAGGGGGTGGAACAAGGTTCTGCAGGACAAGGTTGTGCCTCCTCAATCTTCTCTCTGATAAGTTAACATTCAAAACATCACCCTGAGCAGTGATTCCAGCCTAAGGCCTGCGGTGGGAAGGTCCCAGGTTTCTGGCAGGGCTGGTGTGTTTCTGCACTGAGGAGGTTTTGGGGCAGTTCTGCTCAGTTTCAGTGTATTTTCCAGGACTAGCTGCACTCTGGGCTCTAAGTGACCACAGCAGATGTGCTCCAGCTGCTGCTCAGGCCAAGCTCCCTACAAAGCAGAAATCATCACCAATGTGTTTGCACAATAGTTAGGAAAAGCATTGCATTGGGAAAACAAAAGGAATATCTTTAGTTGTTACTTCTGCAATTTAACATGACTGTTAAAAACATCTGATGAAAATAGTGCTAGAAACATTGGCAAGCCTATCTCCCTCCAAAATCAAAATACATCACAGCATTAACTCCACTTTAATGGATGAGCTCAAAAATAAAGGCTGAAGGGGGAGGAAAATTCTGAGAATAACACCTTTCTTCCCCCCCCCCCTTTCAAAACAGCTCCTTGTTTCTCCAATACATTTATTTTGCATTATTATTTCTCATGTAACTGTGAAGAAATTAAATACTTGAAAACACAACAAAACATATAAATTAAACCAAATGTTTTGATTAATGCAAACCCACTGGCATTTCTTTTCCTGAATAATTTAAAAATTAAGCTGAGAAAACCAATTCCTTGTCAGAGAAGCCTCTGTAAAAGGGAATGTTTGGTATTTTGCAACACTTCTGTTAAGTGCTGGACTGGTGTCAGCATCTCATTCTTTTAATGCTTAGAACAATTTTAACCCACCCACACTCCAGCTCTGAATTATTTAGGAAAAGATGTGTCTTTCTAGACCTTCTCTGTAGTCCCTCAGCAAAGTGTCTGGTTGTACTCGGCATTTCTTATCTAGGATAAAAATACTGTATTTAAATAACACTGACAGTGTCCACAATATGTGTGTCTTTGAAGCAAAGTTGGGCCATATTTTGTCCTCCATCCCTCACTCTTGTGTCATAAAAATGTAGGGGATTTTTCTTGTATGGAAATAATCTGATCTAGAAAGGAAAATTAATGTAACTTTCATGGGTGACCCTTTCTCTTGTTCAGCAGGCTTTTGTTAGGGAAGACAACTCCTCCTTATAGCTACATTCAAATAGGCAGAAAAAAATCAAGATATCTTTTTCTGAATGTTTTAAGGTGTCATTTTAATGAGTCTGCCTTTCTTTAGTGATGGAAATAAAACATTCACTGTGAGGAAAGAGTAAATATTGTCCCACAGGCAGAATGAGGCAACCAGAGGCAGAGAGAGAGAAGCCACATTGGGTGACACAGGCTGTCTGCAGCTGGATTCCCCATGCCAAAGCCAACATTTCTGCAGTGTGGAACAAGGCTACCTTTCTGACCCATTCTTGGACTCAAATGGAGCCCTGAAGCCTTTGAGCACCATCAGAGTCGTAGAGGTGATTCCATGCACCCACAGTGAGGTTCTCACACAGACTGGATGGGAAGGAACTTGTAGAGTGCAAAAACCGAGCCAAGCTGGGCCCAGTTCCTGCTCAGTTAATGGAGGCAGAGGTTTGGCAGTGTTTGAGCTGTGTTCAGCACGTGGTTTACTTGGGCTGGCTCCCTGGGGGAAATCTACTGAGCAGCAGCTGCTCGGCTCATCTCTCCTGGGAAGGCTGCTCAGGGACACACACGGAATGGCAGGAGGAGACACCAAATTCTCCACTCCTCAGAGACATTCTGTCTTAAACTTCTGCCTCAGGGCTTTCTGCACGTTCTGGATCTTCTCTGTGATCACGGTGTCACTGAGGTGATCCCCAAACTTCTGCTTCAGCAGCACCCGGATGATTTTGATGCAGCGTTCGTCCATCATGGGCTTGGCCTCCCGGAAGGTGTTGCCCCTGCGCCCTGTGATGGAGTGGCTCTGGATGTAGTCAGAGGTGAAGAGTTTGTAGAGCAGAGTCTTGCAGGCTGTGCTGATTTTCTGGTCAAACCTGATGGTCTCTTTGAGCTGCTCCTTGGTGTAGCCGTTGAAGAGCTCCACCACCTCACACGGCTGTCGGTGGGGCTCCTCCTGGAAGGACAGGGATTCCAGCCTCTGCACCTTCTTCTTCAGAGAGAGGACGTCCTGTTGGAGGTCCAACACCATCCTTTCCAGCTGCTCCATCTTCTCCACCCTGAAAAATTAAAGTCGCTTGTGCAAAGGCAAGAAGACACCATGTCCTCACTCTGGATGTCACTCCTCCACCCAAGCAGTGATTAGATGCCTTCTGCCAGCAGGGCAGGACAACTCCTCTGACAGACTATCAGCCCTTCCAGCTATTCCTGGGTGAGGAGTAAGGCAGGAGAGAAAAGTGACATGATCTGGACTTTTCAGTTCTCAGGAATGTTCAGTTTAACCCTCAACTCCCCCTTGGCATGCATACATGGAGACTTTGATGCTCAGTTTTCTTCTTATTTGTAAGGAAAGACATAAAGCCTGTCTTGCAAGTCCCAGGACACATATATGTGTGGTATTAAACAACAGACTTGTGGGAAATGACAATGCAAGAACCATAACTTGAATTTTTTTGGCACCCATTTCTTGGCAAGAAAACCGTCCCTAGCATCATTTTATCACTGGATACTGGCCATCAAAGTAATGAGCAATAAGACAAGGAACACACAGCCATGTTTTGATTGTTATAGGCAAGAGCTTTGTAGTTTCTGCACTGTTTTAGAGCCTTCTTGCATCTCTAAATCTAAGCCCTACAATCAGAAACACCTGGCTTGATTGCAAAGAGACTCAGCAACTTTGGAGTTTAAAATTGCCCCACTTTGTCACCCATCTGTGATCTCACTGCTCACTTTTGTAGTGAGAAGGAGAACACAGTTAGGAACAAGTGCCTTCTTTTGCTAATTACCTTTCCATCTCACCAGGACTGACATTTTTGTGAGCCCTTTCAAAGCCATCCATCTCTTGCAAAGCATCAATCTTGCGCTCCTCACGGCTGGAAGAAACAAGCAAGTTAAACAGCACTGCCACAAACAGCTTTGTGCTCACATTCAAATTCATTCCTGAGGAGAATTATCTGGAATTCAAAGCAAAGTCAATTCTGGTTTCATTTGCAACAAGAATGAAACAGACTGAGAGGGAACATGAAGGGTTCTCAATGTGCACAAACTCCTCTGCATCCCCCTGGCACACAGATATGGGGGACCTCCCACTGACCCGCCATGGAATCAGAGCACAGGCTCATTTCTTGCTGTGTGTGCCCACACAAACTTCTGTTATCTTCTGTGCTTTGGGTTTAACCTCCATGAGCATCTACTCAAAGCAAGCACTGCCAGAGAATGGAGACAGTGTGGACAGAAATCAATATGTGTGGTGTGAAACATTCAGGCTCTTTATTGTGCTTTCAGGTGTTACCTGTTCAGACAGATCTGCTGTTGGCACGGGGACAAGATGCCATCTGGCTTCCTCTTCATTGGAAGGGCAACATAATCTGCAGCAAGGGTGAGAGACAAGCTGAAAAATCAGCTGTTGAAAAGGTCCTGAACCCCTCTGTCTCCAGAACATATTATCTAAGCACCCCTGCTAGATTGCATGGCAACACCTTATTCCATTTGCATAGCAGTGATCCAGACAGGCTTTCCAGGACTGATCAATGGGGATTTGTTATTAGAAAAAAGTGGCATCTCAAGGGCTTCTGTTCTAAGTGCAAATGATATGGTGGGGGCAAGGCAAGTAGAGCCAAATCATCTCTGGATGCTGCTGTTAGTCAGCAGGTAAATAAGACACTAGCACATTTTCATAAGTGCATTTAATGGGTGCAGTAGTGGGTGGAAAAATAGGGAAATAGGCAAATCTGAGAAGGTTTGACTAATGGAGACACAGGGCTTTTGGGAATTTCAGTTATTCAGGCATTCATTCATTCAGATTGTCTTTTGGCTTGGGGGGAGAGAACTGCTAGCCCAGGAAACAGCTGGTGCCTGACAGAGCAGAGACCATACACTACATACAGGCATCTCCCTTTAGACAGCCCTCCTGGAACAGATCTCCCAGGTGGAAAGGACCAGGAAATGCCATCTCTAACCTCTGTAGCCCTGAGACAAACCCATACAGCCCTGGAGCAAAGCAGAGGTTTTCTGACTGCTCTGCAAGTCCCCATCCCACCCTGTCACTCAGGACCAGGCAGCAGAGCCAGAACCCAAGGTTACCTCTGGCAGCTGGACCAGCCCTGTCCTCTTCACTCTGGGAAGTCCCTGGCCCTGGCATGGCCATGGTGATGAAGGTGGATGGAGGTGTGAAGGCACTGGCTGGGTGGGGGGGAGCTGCCAGTGAGCAGGGACTCCCTGCCACGCTTCCCAGGACACGCCTGTCCTTGATGGAGGAGCTGCTGGCATCACGGGGCAGGCTGGCCTCAGCCACCCTCAGCAGTGGCTTTGCAGGAGAGTTCCTGTCACTGGGGTATTTCCTGGATGCATTCCCTGAGGTCCATTTTGGAAAGGTTTTCCTGGATTTTTTTGGTGGGGATGGCATCATGCTGTGGACAGCTGGTTCTTCTTCTGAAAGGAAGGGAGATACTCAGGATGAGCAATGGGACAGCAGCGTGTCTGTCTTCCACTCCCACTCAGTGCTTTGTACACTGATTGCAATGATGTGAAATTTATGATGGGACTACAACATGCTCAGCATCCTCCCACCCAAAAAGCTCCATGGAAGTTGAAAGGTGCAATTTTCAAAAGCCCTTACTCACTTAACTTCTCCAGGAGCTGTCGATCTTCCAGCAGCTTCTTCTCCAAAATACCTTTGTGCTCTGTAGGAAGAGAAGATCTTTCAGTACTAAACTCCTTCTGCTCCTGAGCAGCCCCAGATTGCAAACCCAGGCCAGGGGGGTGTCACTTACCACTTATGCCTTCCACCACACCCCAGTACAGCCCACTGAATCCAGGGCAGCGGGCCAGGACCTGCTCCCCCACAGTGCAGAGGTGGAAGGGCTTGCGGGGCTCCTTGATGTTCTCGATGTCGATAACCCGGCTGCCGTCGGGCCAGTGATGAGCACGTAGAGCTTGGCTGACATCAGGGCTGCCCACCTGGAGCAGAGGGACAGTGTGGGAATGTCACCACAGGGGTCTGGGCTCTCCTGTGGGTGGGAGTGTTCACAAGATGTGCTTTACCCAGGCCAGCACAACCTGCAGATATAAAATACTTGGCCTTACATTTGCTCTACCAGTTATTTCATTTCTCTGTTCCCATTCCCACCTTTCTGAGCTTGCCTTGTCCTAAAGCCCTTTGCTAGGAGGCTGTCTTGGGTCTGACTGAGCACAGCACCACATGCCTTCAGTGCATCCAAGTGTCCTTCGCAGTGACAGCCATGGCAGGTCTCACCTGGGATCAGGCAGGGCCAGCCCTCACAGCTGACACTTTGAGCAGATGCTGAACAAGCCACTGAGCAGACACAGGCTGGCTCCTCTGCCCCTGTGAACCATCACAGCTCAAATGACTTCAGTGGATCTCCAGCAGTTTGCTCCAGTGCAGGGCTGTGTCTGTGTGATATCAAGGCAGTGCAGAGAAGAGACTCAAAAAGTCCCAGGGGTATTCCAGGAAATGATTGTTCCCTTGCCTCCACAATTATTTCCCCCAGTAAACATCAAAATGCTTTGATAAGGAGAACAGAAAATTCCCTTCATTTCACCCATGGGGAAACTGAGGCACAGACCAGTGATAGATATGTCTAAGGCAGTCAAGCAACAAAGCTGCAAGGAGCTGGATCCTAAGTCCTGGCCCACGGCTCTGCCCACTGAGCTTTCCCTTTCTGCCCCTGGAGCTGCAGACTTCAGCCATCGGAAAAACTGGAGAGCCAGGCTGGTGGTGATTTCCAAAATCTCCCATGCCAGAGGAGCAGCTGAGGAGCCGAGGGCTGCTGAGCTCAGGAGCAGTTTCTTCCCAGCTCCTAAGGGCCCAGGCAGCATCACCCCAGTCCTGCCTGCTCTGCTCGGCAGCAGCATTTGGCAGAAGAGTTCTGGGGACAAGGCTGGGCCCATGTGCTGTGGCCAGTGAAGAATGGCCACAGTGTCCAAAGAAAATGGGAGGAAGCTGGGGTAGGCAGAGGAGAGTTGGAGCTGGCAGAAAGGGCAGCTAGGACCCAATTTATTCCAGTTTCTTGTTTTCTCTCCACACCCCCATTAAAGTCCTGCCTGGATTTGATTCCTCTCACTTGGAAGGTTCAAGTTCACCCTGGAGAACTTTCTCTTTCCCTATCTCAGCCACCATCAGTTGCAGCAAAGCTCCCTGCAGGAACTGTAACTCTCCCCAGACCTGTCAGTCTGCCCTGCTGGCACAGTCTCACACCTGGTTTTCTCCAGCCCTTTTCTCCTGACTGATACACACCCTGGCATTGATTTTTTTTTATCAGGAAGCACCATATACAAATGATCTGTGTGCCTGTCTCCCTACATCCTTCCCCGAAACAGGCAGCTGCCCCCAGCCCTCTCCCAAACGCAGGGAAGGCTACAGAGCAGAAACTGGGATAAATGCATAGCTGAGCCCTCTCCCTCTCAGAAACAGAGCTCACATTCCAGACAGCAAACAATCCCAGCCCAAACAGCTCTCTAGGGGATTTTCTTTTAACATTTAAAGAAAACACAGTGATCTTCCTTCCCCAAACCAGTTGTTCATTTACCCTTAGGAAAGCAACAAAACTACACAAACACAAAAACAGAGAGAGAAAAAAGAGAGATCACAATCCTGATAGCAACAGAGCTGCTCCTTGCCTGGTTAGCACTGCTCCAGGTGTTGAGTCTTGCAAGATGTCTCCTGTCTCTCCAGGTCTCTGCTGCCTGTTCCAGCAGAGGAGGTGACCGGACACTTCCTTGCCTTGTGCTTGTCCCTTCACCACAGGTCCTTGTCAGGTCTCCTTTGTCTGGCTTGGAAAGCTCCCACCTGCTGTCCCCACTGCAAAGGAAAGAAAGAGCTTTTGCATTCTTTGGTCCTGGTTGTTTTGTTTCAGCATTATTATTCCTGTTCTTTTCCCATATACATATATTATTTTTTTCCTTAGCTTGTTTCAGGTCTGTTTCTTACAGGGAGAGAAAGCAGAAGAGAAGGGGAAAAGCCTTGGGTTTTTTGGAGCATGAATAAACCTTGCATTTCCATGAGTTATTCATGAATAATTCATGAAAATGCATGATTAATTCAGGTTCATGAATTATTCAGGAATAATTCTCGAACATTCCTGGTTAATTCATGCTCACACAGCGAGTGACTCAGGCTCTAGGGCTTGGAGAACTCCTTTCTCCCTGAGACAGGAGAAGAGAGGCTTAGAGAAGCTGCACTGTGCACTTGCTGTTTACTGCCTCTGAGAAGAGAACATATTTTGGGCCCTTTTTGTAACAAGAACTTGAAAAAAATTGAAATGCCTGCAGCCTCCTGCCCACGGAGGAATAACACAGAACCAAAAGAAAAAAAAAATTAAAAAGAGAGAAAGAAATTGGACTTGCTCATGGAGGAAAGCCTGGCAGCAAGTTTTATCCCCTTTCAAAGCATCTTTCTACCCCATCTCCCTGGTTAGGATACAGCTCACTGCTTCAGTTTTTATCTGCTGTGCAAAAAAAAAGGACCATCCCCCTAGGTTTGTGCTTGAGGAGTCAAAGGGAATTCCCATGCCTTGTGCCCATCTGTCCCTCTGTGTGTGTGTGTGTGTGTGCACAGAGTCTTCTCCCAGGTAACAACCAACAGGACAAGAGGAAACAGCCTCAAGTTGCACCAGTGGAAGCTTAGATTGGATATTAGGAAAATTTCCTCACCAAAGAGCAGTCCAGCAGTGGCACAGGCTGCCCAGGGCACTGGAGTCACCATCTCTGGAGGCATTTAAAGGAGGTGTGGATGTGGCACCTGGGGACATGGTTCAGTGGTGAACTTGGCACTGCTGCGGGGAGGGCTGGACTCCATGAGCTTTGAGAGCTTTTCCAAGCTAAACAATTCTTGCAAAGCTCCTTGACTCAGTTTCCTGCTCACAATACCCTCCATTCACATGGGTGACTTCGCACTGGCACACAGGAGTAGGGAAGGAACCCAAACACATCATTGTACATAAAATCAGATGTGTTGAGGGATGAACACATCTCACAGGGATATGGAAACCTCCCCTGAAAACCCAGTCAGGGAGAGCCTGAGCTCTTTTGTGGCTCTAGGCAGGAAGATGCTCAGGATCTCCCAGAGAGGCTCAGCAGGCAGTAGGATTGTGCCTGGATCTCGCTCTGGAAAGGCCAGTGGCTCAACTGAGAGCTGTGGGAATGATTTATAATGCACTGAGAGGGGCCACAGTCCTGCAAGGGTCTTTCATCAGGAGCAAAGAGCAGCCTGGAGGGTGGGGAATGCTGGAGCTGTACCACTGTGTGCTCATCCTTCACCTGAATGGGGAGCTGCCCCCAAAGTTGCTATGTATCACTTTTATGGTTCTCCTGTTGGGTATATTTTGGAGCAGCTGTTTTCTGTGGCTTTTTATGGTGGGAAGCAGCCATTTGCCTGCTGTGATATCCTCACAACTAATACTAACTCCTCATTCCCTTTGGTTTTATTTGGGTTTTTTTAATCCATTGGTTTGATTGGTTTGTGTGGGTTTGTTTGTTTGGGTTTTTGTCTGTTTTGCTTTGAGTTTTTTGTTTGCTTTTTTATAAGACTCAGGTGAAGATGGCATAGCAAAACTCAAGAAAATGTACACCAGGCTTGACTTTCCAGAAATTGCTTTTGGCTGGCTTTAACTTCATCCTCCAGGCTCAGGATAACCAGTACATTTGCAGGTTTTCCTCTGCAACATCAGCTTGCCCAGACTTTGTTCCGTGTTTCACAAATGGAGAAGAAAATGGATATTGTGCCAAGCTTCATTTCAACCTGCATCAGCATGATAGAAAAGAAGAAAAAAAAAAAGAAAATATTCACCAGTTAGAGCAGAACCAGTGTCCCACCATCTTCCCCTCCACTGTTATTAATTTTGTACATTTAGAGGCAAACCTGGGCCTAAAGCTTCCATCGCTCAGTTCCTGATGCAGGACTGCAAGGGTCCCACAAGAAAGGCTGGGACAGAGTGTTCAGAGTGTTCAACAGGGCCTGTGGCAACAGCACAAGGGGCGATGGCTTTCAGCTGCAGGAGGCTGATTGAGGTTGGATCTCAGGCAGCTGCTCTTTTCCACTGAGGCTGCTGAGGCACTGGCCCAGGCTGTGGATGCCCCATCCTTGGGAACAGGGCTCTGAGCACCATGGTCTGGGGGAACGTTGCTAAGCATGGAACCAAAGGCTCTCTAGCTCAACTGTCACGTCACAATCCATGTCCCACCTGGAACTGCCAGCAGCCAGCAAGCAGCACAACACAACTGTTGGCCCTGGGGTCAGCACACCCTGCGCGCTGCTCCTGCCCGCTCCTGCCACCCTTCTTGTTCCTGCCCCCGGATACCCCCATCATCAGGTTCCATAGCTGCCGAAGGCCTGGATTGTGTCATCCATCCCTGCAGGATGATCACATTTGTCCTGAGGAAGGTACGGTGCCATTCCATGGAGGTGGATCCCCCCAGCTGCCCGGGTGGGCTGGAGTTCTGGGGGGATGGGGTGGGACAGGGACCCCACTCTGAGGTTTTGCTACCTCTGCAGGCTGTCGCAGACAGAGAGGAAGAGATGGAGGTGGACACACAGACTGATATGGAGGAGGAGATGGAAGTGGATGGAGAACAGACTGGAGAGGAAGAGATGGAGGTGGATGTGGAAGAGGAGATGGACGTGGAAATGGAAGAGTGCACCGAGGACATGGAAATTGATGAGAAAGATGAAGAGGAGGCCATGGTCCTGGGATGAAGACCGATGCCAGCAGCGACAGGTACGTGGTCCCCACAGGCAGAGTGGGTTCCCTGCAGCCAGGCTGGGGCTGGGCTGGGTGGTCCCTGCTCCGGCCACACAAGCCCCATCCCAGTGCCTGGGGCCCAGCCCCCAGACCCAGCCAGCCTCAGCTCTGGCAGCAGGGTCCCACTGTGCCAGCCTGGGGACACACGGAAGAGCCCTCTGTGCCTGACTGGAGTGACCATGGCACCTGCTTTTCTTCCAGGACTGATGGAGATCCCGGGCAGAGATGGCACCCTTTTGTACATAGTTTTTAGAGTTTGTTGTTCCCTTTAGGATATAGGTTTTAGTGCTACGTTTGGTCTTCTGTAAATACGTTTCAAATATTGTTGTTAGATATGTTCTTAGGTATATACGTTCAATAAATTGTTGTTATTACAAATATTCTTACAAAAGTCAATGTGTTCTGTGTTTTCATTGCTGTTCTTCTGTAAATAAACAACCCTGATTTTTCACACCCCAGTTCTCTTTCCATTTGCTTCAGGCACAGGCAGCATTGGCAAAGTTGTGTTTTCCGCTTGCTCCAGGTTCCCAGGGCGGGAGGTTCATGGGGGAGCTGGCACAGCCACCCCAGGAGTGGGGGTACCTGCACAGAGGGGTCCCACTGACAGAGGTCACTGTCTCCTTGCAGTCTCTCTGGACACACTTGGTAGCTGCAGGGGCAAATCCCAGCGTGCCCGGTCCCGTGGGATCCCATGTTGGGACTCAATGTCCCAGCCAGGGTGAGCACTGCTTGTGGCCCTGGGCTCAGCATGGCAGGCCTGGTGCTCACACCACTGCAGACTTCAAGCTGGCCATGCACAGCTCCGTGTTTCTCCCAAAAATATCACTGCTGCTGCACCTGGGGTTCCCCAGTGCTGGCCTTGTTATCCCTACTGCATGGAGGATCGCATGGCATGGCAAAGGATGGATCCCATGTGGCATCCAGCCTGCCCTGATCCAGGCTGGGCACCAGCAGGGGAAGGTGCAGTGCAATGTCTGCACAACCCAACCAGCCATCCTACCCCAGCCCCTGGATGAGATGGAAAAGCAGGTGGGGAGTGACTCCAAACAGCACTGTCTGATTTATCTTAGCCAAAACCAGCACTGGGGGTTGTTGGGAGAAAGGGAGAATTCACATGTTCAGTGACACATTGGAAGGACCCTGATCAGATTCACAGAGCAAGGAGAAATTCTGCATCCCTGATTTGCAGTACTTTCTGCTAAAACACACACCTGTCAGCCCAGGTAAAAGCAGATGTTCAATAGAGAGCTGGGTGGGATTAGGTAACAAGCAGATAGGAACAGGGAAGCAGCAGTATGTGACTTCTGTGTAGTTCTGAATGATGTTGTTCAAGACTGAGCTGCATAGTAATAAGAAATGGAAAAGCAATGATGGGAAAATTAATAGACGTACACAACAATGGAGATGAGATTGGATTTGAGGCAGGACTTGGTTCCAATCAAATCTGCCTGGGAAGAGGCCTGGCTTCAAATCGCATTGTTTGCTTTCCTTTGAAGAACAACAATATCCAAAATATGACAGATGAATATTCCTGGGGTAGAGGTTGGTAATTCAACTGCAAACCTCAGGAGAGGAAGGATTGCAGGAACCACAAGAGGAAGACAAATTGTAGTCTCATCAAACAACAGAAAAGTCCAGTGCCTGTGTATAAATATACAGCGCTTGTGTTGAATTCTTCCAGGAAAATGCAAGTCTGAAGTGAATCCCAGGTGTTTGACTTCATGAAAATTAGCAAGCCCTGATTCGATTTCCTTCCCAGTCGGTGAATATGAAATCCCTGGGCAGATGCCTCAGTTCCAGGTGTAGGTAGAGTTACTGTATCCAGGAACCTCTCTCTCCTCTGCATCTCCCATTTTTCTGAAAACAAGTCCACACAGTGGCCCCAGCGGCAGCACGTGTCACCCTCTGAGCTGCACTCGCTGAGATTTTTTTTTCCTCTCAGAAAGAGGATCATGCTTGAATTAGAAGAAAAGTTCTGCCAGAAAGAACTTTGCTTCCCCCAAATATCCACTAAAAGCCCTCAGTCAGGTAAGAGCTTTTTAAATAATTTCCAGTATTCACTACAGGGCCAATTATTAAGAGAGCTCTGATCCTGCAGTGCAGTTAATGACCATCTCTGACATATTTCTTACATGTAGTTTTTTCCCACATTTCCTTCAACAGTAACCGACCAGGTGCCTTGCCCTTTTTATCTCCTCTTTAACCCATTTACTCTCATCCTCCATGGCACAGCAGAAGATGTTTCCAGCCTGCACCAGCCACTATTTCACAATTCACCCATAAAATCCCAATCTTTTACACTTCCACCTCTTCATCTTCCCATCCACGGAGGGGAGCCAAGGTCAGCCAGATGCAAACGAGGTGTTTGAAGCTGAGCTGTGATGAGGCAGTGATTGCTTGATGAGCACAGGAGGAGGAAAGGCCTTGGCTGTGCCTTGGTTCTTAAATCATCCTCACTTGTGCAGGGAAATTAAGGGCAGAGCAGTGATGCTCCTCTGACCACTTTCCCCATAGCATTTTTCCTGTCACAAAGTCAAAGGCAGGCAACTCACACATATTCTTTTACTCTGACTCCTGCTGGGATAGGGAAAAAATAGGATAATAGGAAAAAATATAATTATTAGGGATTTTCATTGTGTGAGCTCAGGATTCCCCACGCTTTTGCAAAGGGGG